ATGTCAATGTGTAGGGTCGAAGACATTAGCTGCCATCCACAAAGTCGATGCTCATCGCGAGCGATCCTTCCTCCAGAGGCGTCCGGAAGCCATGCTTGCGACAGGTCTACCACCGGCAGTGCTCTTTCCCGTTTATCCGGCCCGGAATACGAGACGGGCGACGATGGCTGCGACTTCACGCCGGAGACTCGGTGGTCTGGGATAAATCCTTTTCCTGGTCCAAGGGTCGGTACATTCGGGCATGGTATTTCGGATGTCGCGAAGAACGACACATGGAGAGGAGAGCTCATTGGGTTGGTCTACGGGTAGATAGACGTCCCAGGTGCAAGTGATTTTATACGTATCGCCTACGAACCTTTGTGTCGTCGTTCAGGCGTGTTGGCGCTAGTGCCTGCCTTACGCTGTGCCAATATTCCCGCGGGTTCGTGGGCAAACATAGCGTGAGGTACTCGTGACGAGCGCAAGCAACCAACGATTATTGACGAGGCCTGCATACTGCCGACAGCTCATCTACGACATGGAACGCACATCACAGCAGGGTCATCAGGCGAAAGTATGTAGATACCCATAAATGAAACGGTTTCCAGACGGGATTCAACCAGAACCGAGATCAACGAAAGGATCCATTCCCAGAATTACTCTCTGGTCCCCCCATAGCCCAAAGGCTTACCAGCAGCGTCTTTCATCAGCTCCAGCCCTTCCCAAGGGAAGAGCCTTCGCCATTAGATGTACTGCGGCGGGCGGCCATTATCTATCTGAGGAGAGAAAAAGAAGAAGAAAGGGAAAAGAACTTCTCCAGGTCGCCGGCGTTTTGAGGCACAGCCAGAATTTTTTCGGGTGGTCTGTGCTTCGATGCGTGCTTAGCTAAGATATAATCCACCCGACCTTGAGCAACCTTCCGATGACCAGGGATCACGTGGGCACTGCAGCTTAGGAAGTAGTCTGCGCTGATTGGTCGATCGCAGCCGAAAAGCCGAGGGGATTCCCGTGTCTGGTCGGGTTCCACTGGAGCGCCTGGCTGCTGCCATTGAATCCTTGGGTGTGTCTCTGGGAAAGCTTGACATCAACACTTTTTTGCAACCTCACCCACGCCCGAGCCGCTCCAATCCCCCGCGAAACGAACCACCCGCGACCGCGACCCGAACTTCGATCTTAAGAGCAACGAAACGACTCGAGTACATTCAGCCAACATGATTGCGCAGCGGGTGGGCGTGTCGGCCCTGCGCCGAGGTGCGTTTACATCATTGAAGTCTCCTGCGGGATAGTTCGAGAGGAGAACGAATTGCTGACGATGGCGATTGGCACCACAGCGGCAGGAAAGCCCTCCGTCTTCTTCAACTCCCAGATCCCCAAGGCCGTCGTCGCCTCCAGCATGTCCACGACGCAGATCCGGTACGCAAACTACTCCCCCCCGTCGACAATCCCTCGAAACTATTCCCTCAACCCAAACCTGGAACCTTCAAACCTCCAACACATGCACGTGAACCCCAGAAAGTCACGATACTAACAACCCTCCCCAAACAGCCCCGTCGCAACCGCCAAGGTCTCCGTCGCCGACGGCAACGAGATCCTCGCCAAGCAGCGCCTGCACCGCCCCATCTCCCCGCACCTGACAATCTACAAGATGGAGCAGACGTGGTTCGGCGCCTCCATCTGGACGCGCATCACCGGCGGCGGCCTCTCCGCCGCCTTCTACGTCTACTTCGGCACCTACCTCGTCGCGCCGCTGCTCGGCTGGCACGTCGAGGCGGCCTCGCTCGTCTCCGCCGCCGCCGCGGCGCCCGTCGCCCTCAAGGCCGGCCTCAAGTTCCTCGTCGCCTGGCCCTTCACCTTCCACTTCTTCAACGGCATCCGCCACCTGACGTACGACTTCGCGCTCGGCTTCGCCAAGCCTGAGATCAACAAGTGGGGCTGGGTTATCTGGTCCACGTCGCTTGTGTCGGCGCTCGGTCTGGCTTTTGCGTGGTAAAGGGGGAGAAGTTGGGTTTCGGGTTTGAGGATGGTGGGTGATGAGTGGTAATTGGGGACGGGGAGAGAGACGCAGGAGAGCGGAAAGTGTATGTGGGTGTTGATGGTGGGAGACGGCGATTGGAGTTCTGATCGGATGGCACTCTGCTGGAAGATTGTCTGGCGCAAGGCCCTCCCCCCGCTGCTTAAGGCGGGGGGATTGTATAGACTGGAAGCTGTAAAATGAGTTCCCTTGAGTATCAAACAAGTTAAACCATTGTTCCCGTTCACAAAACGTGCAAGTATTGGTGGCACGCGATCAACTCCGAACTTCGGAGGGTGAGGGCAGCAGGACAGAGGTTTAGAGACCCGTGATCAATTATCTACATCAGGTCGCAAACTAAAGTGGTATGCCTCCTAATCCTGTTTTACCATGTCCAGCCCAAACGCCGATGCGCCTCCCAGATATTTAATCACTCGAATGTATCCTCACATTGATCTCGGGGTCATCGGTTGACCGTACACCACATATCGATCCTATTCGATGTTTCGGGCATCCAAAATCTGTCGGATCACCCTCGAGTTCCCTGAGCTGAGCACACGAGCGCCAAGAATGGGACCGATAAACTCGTTGAGCTCGGTGGCGTAGTTGTCGACGCTGCCGTTCACCCCGTTGACGGGGGTCTTGTCGCTCTCGGCCATGGTGCTGATCGCTTTCAGAATGCCACCGACCAGCATCTCAAAGTCGATCCCCTCGCCCTTCTCCTTCAACGGCTGAAGGATGTTGTCGTGGTACGCCCTCAGACACTTAAGCACAAGTACCCGCACCGCTTCAGGACCGCCAGCTGACGCGACACCAGAGATGGCGCCAAAGTGCGCAGCAGGGGGCTTATCCGGGTCCATGAAGAACTTCAGACACGTGCGCACGAGCTTGGGTCTGAGGAGGTTATTGGAGGCCGAGTACTTCCGCGCAATCTCGCCGAGCAGCGACGCTGAGAACTCGCGTAGCTTGTACTGCTCCTTCACCGCATCAGAGCCGTCCTCGGCGCCGATCTTGCGGCTGAGGATGCAGGTCAACACGGGGGCGGCAATAGAATTGGCGTAGGGGTCGAGGAAGAGCTTCTTGTTTTGGATGAGGGCCAGCGTCAGCTCCATGGACTGGCGGAGGATGAAGACATCGTCGAGGCGGTGGGTGACTTGGTTCGCGACAAAGTTGATAAAGTAGGGGATCAGTTGGTGTAGACCAGGGTCGTCGCGGACGGAGGCAAGAGCGGCCTGGCGGAGACGCCCAACTTCCTCATCTGGGTTGTCGTCGAGGATGGCGTTCTGGACCTTTTCGAAATAGAGGATAAGTTCCTTAGAAACAACGTGCTTGACGGCGGGTCGGAAAGAGATGGAGTCGTTGCCGGCAAGGGCGGCCAGGGCGGGGTTAGCACCGGGGCCCTTGGGGACGAGTTCTTGGGATCGGGATTCGGCTGTCGTCGGGTTCTGGGGGATGGACGGTTGTACGCCTTCGATTGCGAGCCAGTGAGCTGTAATTACAGAGTTAGCTGGAGTAGGCACATATACAAAGAGGAAGGCGCACCCGTGAAGCTCATGTCGCGCGGCACCTTGGGCAGGGGCGCGTTGATGAGCTTCTCGAAATCGACCTCCTCGTCCTCGATGTAGAACAGCGGTTGGCCAGGGCCAAGGCTAGCCTCGCCGAATCGCAGCGGACGCGTCGAGTCGTATCCGTACAAAGGTTCGATGTTAAGAACTTTGAGAGCGGTACTGATGTCGTTGACGGTCAGAGTGGTGCGGCGGGCAGCGCGCATGAAGCGCAGGGCCTCGACGAGGACCTGGCCGATTCGGTACTCGACATCCTGGGTGAGGCAGCGCAGGGCTTCGTCGTTGAGGTTCGGGATGCCGACGGACTCGGCGACGTCTTTGACGTTGTCGGGATTCCAAAGGAGCTTTGGCGCGTCTTGGGCCGCCATCGCGTCGCTTGTTTGGGGTGGTTTCGACGGGTGGTGAGGTTGCGACGAGGCGCCGTTCGAGGTGCGGAAGTGAAGTTGGACGCGAGGCTGAAAAGTTGGGGTACCTTCCACTGACGAGGTGTGGTGGAGACCCCTAGCTGCGGAAGCTACAGTGGACGGGGTACCCTACCTACACTTGACAGGAAAGTGCCTGACTGGGTCGCACTTGCCCAAAGTTCCTGCATGTTTAGTGGGTTATCTACATTCACGACTCAATTTTGACAGCGCCAAGCTCATGCTGGCAACACAGCTCTACCTTCTCACCATTCAAATGGAACTTTCTGATTTATCAATGGGTATCTCAAAGAGGATGAATGCCGTCGCATTTCTTAGTCAACTTTCAGTGTCACGAGCCAAGCCAGATTGACAACAAGGCTGTACCTCGACCGTCGTCTCCCTCGGCGACGTGCTCGAAACTCGGGTTTGCTAGGCGCCGTTCTCTCATGTGAAGATGTGATGGGATTTGTAAAAATGCTGTTCAATTCGAACCGCATTTGGAAGATTGATCCATATCGCGAAAGCATTGCTTCAACCCCAATGGCAGGCTCCCCTCTGTATGGCATCTATGGATTACGTGGGGCTTGCGGCACCAAGACAGAAACGACACCAAATTCGCACCTGGCAGCCTCAAGTCTCACAAGAGGACCATTTGAATGGTTACTACAATGATAACAACTCGAGGCTGCATCTCCCTGCCATGCCTGGACAGCGATTCAGCCTGCGCTTGGCTTGAAAAGAACCGGGCTCAGCTGAACTTGTCCAGCCACAAGCTGCGCACCTCGTCTGATGGCGGCTTATCTTCATCCAACTGGTGGCGTTCAGCAAGACACAACATGGGCTGCTGGAAGCGTAGCCGATGATAACTTCCAAGACACGGCACAAGTGCCTTTACCCAATCGATAATCAGGCTGCGATGCTTCGCTAGTTATAAGTACTAGATTGATGCTCTTGGCTTGTGAATTGCGCGCTTATCTACAGTCTCTAAGCCCAATTACCAAGGAAATCTTCCAGCTTCTGTCTTCGTCATATCTTTTCACCATGGGTGGTGCTGTGTCATCTCTCAAATCTGCCGCCAAGGGCACTGACGATGCTGCACACGCCAGCTCGCCTGGCAAACAGGCCGACTCTGCTGTTGCGCACGCTGCAGGTAACGGCCTCCCTTCAAACGCCAAACCAGCAGGTGAAGATGGGCCTGGCTATGCAACATGGCTGGCCATAGGAAACACCGCCGCATATGGCATATATGGCACATCATCTGATCCAGGAGAGCTTCCTCCTGTTCCGGTAGAATGGATCATCGCCCCCAAAACCGTGTCAGCCGGGCAATGTCCATCCGTTGGCCACAATATCACCACATTTATTGTAACGGATGTCGTTGCTGGCATCATTGCTGCCGTCTTCTGCTGCAGACCAATTGTAAAGAAGATAACGTTTGGTCGTTTCGGCAAACTTCCTAACAAAACATCTCGGTGGTGCAGCTCCGTCTGGTGGACATGGCTGATAAGCTTGTTGCTGGCGCTTGGAGGGAACCTGGGTGTCACTCTCTTTGTGGTGAATGCTGAGGGATACACGCATCTGTCTAAGCTCATCATCTTTGCGCTGTATGCTTCCCGCCCGCGCATCAACATGGTGGTCGTGGCTCTGCTCCGAGTCCTTGTTGCCGTACGCACGAAAGACTGGTCCAAGGCCGCAAGCTACAAGCCTGTTGAAAAGGAGGAGTTGGAGAGCCAAGACACGACGTACTCCGGCTCTGAACCTACGACCAAAGAAGGCGCTGGTGACGGAAGCGACTCCGAGAAACTCATCATCAAGATTTACGATGGAACGGGAGCTTTGGAGAAGGAATACGTCTACATCGACTCCTACCGGAGCACCGTCGTGGCCGAGATAATACTGAATACCATTTCAGCAGTTTTCGTCGGCGTAACCTGGGGTCGCTTCCCCAACCAAACCATCAAAACCTACATGAACCCGAAAACAATATTCATGCAAACTGCCCCGGCAATCTCGTTCGTCGGCGCCATTTTCGCTATACCAGTGTATTGGAAAAGAGGCAGATATGTGGACGACAAATGGGTGAGGGGGCTAGCTGGGGCTGCTTCCTTTGGCACTGCTTATGCCGCGCCTTGGGTGTACTGGTACTACTTCTTGCAGCTTCCCGGGGCTTTGTAAGTCTTCGATTGCATTGCTATCCTGTTTGGATCGCAGTCGTAGATATGCGGACTAACATGATCACAGGTGGTGCCCTCCCAAACTTCCCATTCAGGCAATCATCTGGACTGCATTCTCTCTGGCCGGTTGGTGTCCGTTATCTCTCAGATATAACGAGCTAAAGAATATTGACAAAGCACAGGAAACATTCTGGCCTAATGATTTCGACAGCGATCTCAATGACAGCTAAAGATGGGTTGCTGGAAAAGCTTGGCGATAAGGTTTTGAAGGAAAAACGGGAGCGTTGAGCTGCCTGGCTCCGGGTATCAAATCTAATGGTATCAAAATACACGACTGCAATCAGAAACATCTATACCCTCCGCTCTCCATACGCTGTATTCACCGCCTCCCCGCTACTTCTTGGCTTAGGTCCAGGCCCAACCAACTCATCCATGCTGGCCCCCTTATCCTCGCCCTGTCCAACCTTCTCGTGAATATGTAGCCTTTCCAGACCCATGATGGTCCAGACCACAACCCCCAGAATCGCAAACTCCATCAAGACGGTCATGCCGAGATACGTCGCCGTATCCCCCTTCACAGCGCTGAACTTGTCGTCTCCGGTACTGACGTACGATATCGTGTATGCGATGCGGACGACCATGAAGGGGAAAGATGCGCCGAAGCCGATCATGGACCTCTTCTCGCCCTCGGGGACCAGTTTCCACTTCTGCGCCAACCATACGTAGAGAAGGACACCCCAGAAGTAGAGCGCGGCGAAGAGGCCCACCCCGGCCTTGGTCAACGAACCAGGCGCCATGGCGTTTTCCGTCTTCTTGCTGGCGACAACGTAGTCGGCGATGGATATGGCGAGGCCGGCCCAGCAGATGAGCTCCGGAATGCGGAAGTGCCACGGCGTGAGGACCTGGACGAAGTGGTTTCTGGAAGAAGCACCGAGTTAGCATGCGAGGGGCGTATCAACCAAAGATAGACGGGCAACTTACACTCTCTTTAACAGGTCCAGCAACACAAACGTGAGAAGCACAAGTCCCAAAGATTCGCAGACAAAAATGGTCGCCCAGAGGCCCCTCGAGTCGTTGAACATGGTGCCGAGCATGCAGCCCGCGCCGACAATGCGTATCGTCGAGATGAAGGAGATGCCGAACCAGCCCATTCTCTTTTGGAGCTTGAAGAGAACACCAAAGACGAGGAAGACGGAAAAGACGGCGATCTGGGCGATGGCGACGCCGTCGCGGAAGCGGAATGCGCGCTCTGCCATTGTGTGGGACTCTGGTGTAAGTGACGAACCGTCTATGTATCTCTGGGGGATCGAGGATGATTTTTCTGTATGTGTTGGTATTGAATATTGTCAATCAGTCGTGACTCTTTCATCATGAAATTCTGGCGAGGAAAGAATATAACTCTTTTAGCTTTGTTGAACCCCGATTACCTGGACGGGAGACCTCCCATCACCGCCACTCGGAGAGTCAGATCGGGCGGACCCCTTGATCGTTCGGCGCCCGGAGGCAGCTTGTGCCCCACAGAATTGGATTAAGCGAGTGCGAACGCCGGGGGTTCGGGTGCGAGAGCGTGTATGTCGTCCAATGAGACCGCCGCGCGGGATCAGTCCGACAGCAGATTGAATCCTACACCTCAGCCCTGCTGACGAGATCTGCGTGGCTGTTGTGGTACTAAGGCTTGGCTCAGTAGGTGTGAGAAAGTCCAGTAAGATTGCGTGCGTTGTGATGCTATTGAGTCCTACTTTAGGCGCTGAATTCTCACTAGCTGTCAATGGCTGCGGTGACGGTTGAACTGATAGAGAATAGTAGAAGGCAGCATAAAAACTCGGATTCTTGTTGGAGATACGACGAATGGTTCAGCTGAGAGGGAATAGAAAACGCGACAGTACATTCAGACTGGGTGACAGGGCTTGGTACCCAAGAGGAATGCCTCCCTAAAGTCTATTCTCCTGTCATCGCAAGTTTGAGATGAACCTCCGTTCGAACGAAATCACTTACATCATGAACCGGACACAAAGGACAGTAACGAAACTCCAGCTGAGTTAAGCACACGATACGTAACAAATTGTGGCAGTGGACCCTGAGATCTCACTGTCGACATGCTCTGCCCCGAATGCCAAGCCGAGGCGACCACGCTCTGCATACTCGACTCAGCTAATGCTGTGGCACTTTAAGCTTGTTGCCTGTCAATCCCGTCACAGCCACACTCATAATGTTTTTGCGGGTTTGATTCTTACCTGTCTGTCATTGGTAACTACAGCTCTTCGCATTCGCTTAACTCCTGAACTCCTGTAAAGCTGACAATGGTTATGGACGGCGAGAACCCGCCGAATACTTGCCCAACATAGCTCAAAGCCGCACACGGCAACCCCGGCACCTGTGCCGGACCCGAACAAGGCCCCACACCACCAGCATTTCGGAGGACCGAAGAATCTTTTCCATCTCGGTCCTCGGTGCCAATCCTATTATTATGGCTTTTGGAATTTTTGAGAAACCGGGATATTCCTTTCGTCCAATCCTGATTGAAGAGACCTTACTTACCATAGCGAATTCCAAACACTGGCTTCACTGGCTTTTTGTCTTTCGTCCCTATTCAACCTAATGGCTTGCCCCGCATTCACTTCTCGCCGACGCATGCAACCACGAAATGAAGCCATCCAGCCCCGCCATGCCCTGCCCTACCCACCCACAACACCGCCTGACCTTCATATTTTTCTTTTCCGCCTCGACCTCCAACAATCACTGGTTTCGTGGTGTAGTTGGTTATCACGTCAGTCTAACACACTGAAGGTCTCCGGTTCAAGTCCGGGCGAAATCATCCTTTGGGCGAATGGTTTAGTGGTATAATACTCGCTTAGCATGTGAGTGGTCCAGGGTTCGATTCCCTGTTCGTCCACATCTTTTGCTTTTGAGTGTGAAGGAGGCTTCCTTAAGCTGTGTTCTCCCTTTTGACACCTGGGAGAAGTCTTCAAACGGTTGGATCGCTGCGGTGTAGCATTTTTTGCCCGGGTGGACCTGCTGCAGTATCCCCGAAAACGCCGGTCAGCAGGCCCCACTCCCGCCCGGCCTCTCCTAACCCTCTTCAGCGTTCGCGGGGGGAGGCTGTTTCCTTCTCTCTTCCTTCTGGAACGATGTCAACGGATTTCGGTATGGACTTTGAGATTTTATTTTGCAGATTTATATAACAATTCCGCCACCCGTTGAATACCGAAACCCTTGCCATCATGCTATGCGATGTATGGGAACCCGCGGACGTCTGGACCGGCATCTCCGACCAGAACCGTAGAAAGAAGCTGCAAAACAAACTCAACCAGCGTGCTTATCGTCAGTAAGTCCCAGGGCCTCGTCACCTTCATAAGCCTTACTTCAAAGCAGGTAGAAGAAGGAAACAACCCACCGTAGACTGCGATGATCAGCACTCATCGCTGGCAGCTCCGGGCCAAGACAGCATCCTACCAATCCTCCTCGGCGGATGTGCTCTTATCAAATGCCCCCAAAGGCTTTCTCTTGCCCAAAGCCGCGTCAAAGAAGTCTACGAGGGCTACTCGCTCCACGCGCCGCGGCCGTCGGCACTGCACATCCTCATCCGCCTGCGCGTCCTCGCAGCACTAGCCCACAACGCTGCCGCCATGGGGTTTCCCCCACAAGGCCTCTGCCGCGACGACTTCGTTTCTCCATAAAACCTGAGCGGACCTCTGGGGCTAGAGAACTTTGATTTGACGACACCCGGCCGCGAGAGTCTTCGTCCGACGGACCTCCAGAGGAGAGTCCTCCACCACCCCTGGATCGACCTCTTCCCGTTCCCCGTCTTCCGAGACAACGTGCTGCTTGCGATGGAGTCGGGGTTGGTGGACGACGACCAGTTGTGTGCTGATATTCTCGAGGTGAAGAATGAAGACTTGGCTGGCAGGCCGTCGCTCATCGTCTGGGGTCAGTCATGGGATTGTATGGCGTGGGAAGCCAATGAGGCCTTCTTTCGGAAATGGGGGTTCTTGACGCGGGGGAGCCCTGAGATGCTGGAGGCGACTAATTACTGGAGATCTAGACGAGGGGAAAGAAGGATCATTTATGAAGTATGACGTATGTGTTTTCATAGGCCGAAGGTGAACATCCCGAGCGAGCGAACATTGAAACCGCAAATGCAGTCTTTGAAGGCCGAGCCAAGCTGCGGCAAGTAAATTACATGGCCTCTCAAGGTTCTCTAAGGATATACCTCGTCCTACAGGCGGGACACCCATATCTCGGGATGTCAGCAACCTTCCTTATCTCCAGATGCGGGGCCGGGGGCGGCGGGACGGCGCTAATGCACTTGGATTATTTTGTGGACCAGACCCGGAGCTGGTCCCGGGCATCGACCTGTGCTCACGGCATCTGGGTGGAATGTTTAGATGCCGTCAAGCTTCGTACCGAGACCGAGTCAACGACCTCGAAGGTCAGAAAGAAGACTTCTCAGCCACGTATAAATATGTAGTACTGGAGGGACTCATCTATCCTCGAGCTTCGTCTTCCACGCAGCCACTCAAAGCACTCTCGCCGTCTTTCTAAACGAACCTCAAGACTACACTCGATATCTCACAATGGCGGAACCATCAATGAAATACGTCCGGTGAGTAACTCCACCACCTTCTTAACCGTGAGAAGATCATTAACAGGTCGCCTCCGTCCAGGGTGGGCAAGTCCGGCCTCAAGGTCTCCCAGATCATCCTCGGCTGCATGAGCTTCGGCAACAAGAACTGGCAACCATGGCTCCTCGACCAGGCCGAAGCCCTCCCCATCCTCAAGTACGCCTTCGACCGGGGCATCAATACCTGGGACGTCGCCGACACCTACTCAAACGGCCGCTCCGAGGAGATCGTCGGCGCCGCCATCCGGGAGTACAACATCCCGCGCTCGAAGCTCGTCGTCATGTCCAAGTGCTTCCAGTTTGTCGACGACGCGCGGGGCCCCATCGACCCGGCCAATCTGACCAGCAACGACGGCCCGCGCGTCAACCAGGTCGGGCTGTCACGGAAGCATATTCTTGATGCTGTGGACCGCAGCGTCGAGAGGCTGGGGACGTATATCGACGTGCTGCAGATCCATCGCATGGATCGGGACGTGCCGCCGGAGGAGATCATGAAGGCGCTGAATGATGTCGTGGAGAGCGGGAAAGTGCGGTACATTGGTGCTAGTTCGGTCAGTCTTCACATCTTTATCTACCTGGACAATCCCCCACCACCCGTCGTGATAATCGCTGACTAGTAGATGCACAGATGGCAGCCTGGGAGTTCCAGATGCTCCAGAACGTCGCGAAGCAGAACGGCTGGCACCAGTTCATCTCGATGCAGGGCCTGTACAACCTCCTCTATCGCGAGGAGGAGCGCGAGATGAACCCGTTCTGCAACGCCGCCAGCGTCGGCCTCTTCCCGTGGTCGCCCCTCGCCGCCGGCGTCCTCGCGCACCCGTGGACCGACCGCTCCGACCCCCGGGAGCAGAAGGACCCGTTCCTCCAGATGCTCTTCCGCGGCGTCGAGAACGGCGCCGACAAGGCGATTGTCGGGCGGGTGGAGGAGCTCGCGGCCAAGAAGGGGGTCGCGATGGCTCAGGTCGCGCAGGCGTGGCTGATTTCGAAGGGGTGCATGCCGATTTGCGGGCTGGAGACGCGGGAGAGGATTGACCAGGCGCTTGGGGCGTTGGAGGTGAAGTTGAGCGAGGAGGAGGTGAAGTATCTTGAGGAGATGTATGTTCCGAAATTGCCCATGCCGTTTTAGAAGTGGAGAAGATCTGGCGCGGCAAGCTGTGGCTTGGGATAAGCACTGGCTTGGCTAGATCTGATCGATTATTGTTCTTTGGACGAGATCGACTTGGCACTTGAAGAATAGACCAAATAAACACAAGAGCGAAATTTCACAGCCGCCACAAAGACAGGAGGGCCAGGTCCCGTCAGTCCATATGTCTTGGGGACGTGTATGTTCATGCCTGAAGATGAGGGGTCACCCATGACCGAATGCACGATCAACTGAAAAAAGAAACAACCCTCCCAGCTACCAGGAAGATCATTTGGCACTACGTCTAGCGCGGCCAAGGAAGTGACACACTTCTCCAAATGCAGCCGACCATTCGCCCGCTTAGACACAATCCCGTCCCAAAGCATTGAGTCGATGACAGTCTGGAACCCAGGCTACGGTTGGACCAACAGCAGCTCCTCGGCTGCAAATGGCTGATGGGAAGATGGCATTCTGACGCCATGGCGTCGACCAGTAGCCCGTCTGCTCCTGAAGATGTTAGGTGGCGCCCATCGTTGCGGTCGCATTTCAGCCGCACGATGCCATCGCGACCCTCATAAACTGACGTGGAGCTCGACCTTTTATCGTCGGTTGCATTGGGTTGGAACATTGAGAGACTTTCGGAGCCTGTGTCAACTGAGAAGAGCCATTTCACAACGATGGAGAGTTTGAGTGCGCATGACGGGACCGACGACCGGGTCGCACCGGCGCAGGTGTCGGCGGATCGGGACGGCGGTGCGCCGTCTGAGTACCCGGCGGGACGAGACGACGTGCCAAGAACGAGCATAGCATCTTTCACGGAGCAGGACGAGGTGGAGTCTACGCATGTGCCGAGCACCTCTGCTTCGTCTGTGGAGCTCAGCATCGACTCGGACATGAGCGACGCCGACTCGGCTCTGGGGCTTGATGGAGGGCGGGCTTCGTCGTCTGCGTCGGTCGCTTCGAGTCTTTACCGATTCGTCGAGGAGTTTGGTCGGACGTATCATAGGTACAAGGAAGGGAGTAAGTTGTTCATTCTTGTCGATGTGAGAATGCCCGCTGACGTTGAGAAGAGTATTTCCTCCCCAACGATGAGGTATGACGAGTCTTGGTTTAGAAGATGTCTATCACGCCGACTTCTGACATGCGAAATCCTGCAGCAAGAGCAAGGCCGTTTAGACCTGCAACACGCCATCGCCCTCCGCATTCTCGACGGGAACCTCGGCCTGGCGCCCGTGGACAAGCCGCACCGGGTGCTCGACATCGGCACGGGGACGGGGATCTGGGCCATCGAGTTCGCCGACCAGAACCCCGAGTCGGAGGTGCTCGGGAGCGACCTGAGCCCGATCCAGCCCGAGTACGTGCCCGCGAACTGCCGCTTTGAGATCGACGACGCCGAGGACGAGTGGATGTACGGGCAAAAGTTCGACTACGTCCACGGCCGGTACATGTGCACCTCCATCTTTGACTTCCCCAAGCTGTTTGGCCAGATCTACGACAGCCTCAACCCCGGGGGCTGGGTCGAGTTCCAGGAGACCGTGATTGACTTCCGGGCCGTCGACGGGACGCTGGAGGGCACGGCGCTGCGGCGGTGGAACGACCATTTGCTGGAGGGTATCCGGCGGGCCGGGCGCGACGCGTTGTCGCCGTTTGGGTTCGCGGCGAAGATGACTGATGCGGGGTTCAAGAACGTCCAGCAAAGGAAGTTCGCGGTGCCGTCTACGCCGTGGGCCCGGGGGAGAAATCAGAAGATTCTCGGCGCGATGCAGATGACCAACAACCTCGAGGGGGTTCAGGGCATCACGATGAAGATCTTTACACAAGTGCTGGGCTGGACTCGGGAGGAAGCTGAACTGCTGCTGGTTGACGTGCGCAGGGATATGGCGGATAGGAACATCCACGCATACCTCACGATGTGAGTTTTTCTTTCTGATAACCTTGCGGTAATGAGCTGACCATTCGAAGTATGGCTGTCTGGGGCCAAAAGCCGCACGAAGGGGAAGAGCATGCCGCCATGTCGTGATTTGAGTAGCCCGGAAGAATGTCTTAATCGTTGTGTACATCCAGCATGGAGTTTGAAGTTAACGCTTTCGTCGCATCTTGTTGGTGTTGAACTCCGCCAGTTGCGGAGTTCATCTTGTTCGTTCTCGGGTCACGATCCACGTTGTGATAGCTGTCATCCCAAGAGTATCTAGATGAAATGCATGCACGACACGAATCATGTCCGACTGAATGCAAGAAAAGCGCAGGAACGCTGAGAGTGAGCAAGTGACATGATCCCGCAATAACGGCAACATTGCACTGCGCAATGCATGCGAACCGCGGCACGACCCGGTGCGGCTTGTAACCGCTCCCTTTATTAGAAAAGAGAAGAAAGATGCCGAGGCCGTTGTGCTAAAGATCCACACTTGATGGCGGCCTTGAAACCGATAATGATAGTCTCCCCGTGCCAAGTGTTCCGATGGATCGGCGAATGCGTGCCGGGAGCGGCATCAAATCCGCGGGGGAACGGAACACGGGCTCCTTTTCGAAGAATTTCTAGGCCACAGATCGTCGGCGTTATGACACGCCGCCCCATCGGCTTTAATCCTCGTGTTCCTCTCCCAGTTCCCTCTTCTGGACTCCCCCTCCGAGGTCCCCCACTCGCTCTCGCCGGTCCATCCACTCGGCGTCCTCCTCCCGCCCCCAGGTCCCTGGCCCTCCGGATGGCAGATTGCTGGTTACGGCAAGGCCATGGCAGGGCATGGAAGCAGCCGGAGAGTTTAATCGTCCGCATGCTTTGTAAAACGGGGTGTGGAGTTCGCCCTGGCAACCCGCTGTGGCATTGATGACTGAAGAAATTTTGCAAACCCGCGCTTGTGTTGTTTCTGGAATCGGTGGAGACTTACTGGTTGATGAGCGAGTCAATCATGCTCCATGACCCGACACATGTCACTGTCTCTGCCCATCTGGACCACGGAGAGACGCCAAGCGGGAAAAGGAAAACACATCGGTGTGACGTCAAGCTGACCAATTGCATGGCGGGGTGAAGCTCTCTTCCATGCCATGCCACTCTTACCAACACCTTAGAAGCTCCCCTGACGTTGGTGGGGTAAGCTGGAGAGCGCGGAATTCTACCGTGATGGCCAGACCACCATTCGAAACTGGATCGATGATTACGGGGGCGGGGGAATGCGAGTACAAAAGAGCTTGACACCCCGCGATGGAGGACATCTAGTTATTCTAATAATCCAGCAATATCTACTCTCTTACGCTTTGATACCCATCGATACCCCTATACACTCAATTCCTTTATTTCAATCCTCTCAAACAAACCACAATAACCGTCAAAATGGTCGCTAAGAAGGTCCTCGTCGTTCTCACCTCTTGCGACAAGATCCCCAAGACTGGCAAGCCCATCGGCTGGTACCTGGTAAGCTCAATCCCAACGTCATCACCGTCTACGCCGCGAACCCAACTGACTTTGCCACTTCCAGCCTGAGCTCGCCCACCCCTACGATGTCCTCAAGGAGGCCGGTGTCGAGATGACCTTCGCCTCCCCCAAGGGTGGCGTTGCGCCCCTCGACCAGGTCTCCGTCCAGATGTTCGGCGAAGACCCCTCCTCCAAGAACTTCCTCGAGAACCACAAGGAGATCTGGGAGAACACCAGGCCGCTGTCCGAGTTCGTCGGCAAGGCCTCCGAGTTCGACGCTATCTTCTACCCGGGCGGCCACGGCCCCATGTTCGACCTCGCCTTCGACGACGAGTCGCTCAAGCTCATCGCCGACTTCGCCGCCCAGAACAAGCCCGTCGCCGCCGTCTGCCACGGCCCCGGCGCCATCGTCAACGCCAAGACCCACGACGGCGAGTACCTGATCAAGGGCAAGAACGTCACCGGCTTCTCCAACACCGAGGAGGACCAGGCCGGCTTCACCCCCGAGATGAACTTCCTGCTCGAAGACCGCATGAAGGAGGTTGGCGGAAACTACGCCATCGCCGACGCGCCCTGGGGCGAGAAGGTTATCACTGATGGCGTTGTCATCACCGGCCAGAACCCCGCTTCTGCCCACGGTGTCGGCAAGGCCATTGTCAAGGCTCTTGGTCTGTAAGGAATGATTGTATGACATGATGACGACAAAAAGGTTACGAGGGATACAAAGTAATACCAATTCAAAGCGATTCTGATCATCATTTTGGTGCCTGATGAAGCCATTACTTTCAAATTCGTGACTGTTGTAATGCCATCTGAGGTTCACTTTTATGATACATGGAGAGGGTTCCGTAGCGGCCGTCCATCTCACGCCAATTCCTGAATTTCCATCTCCTCAATGTCAATGTTCCGCCGCGGTATGGTCCACTGGTCCATATTAGTGGTCATCGACACGCCATCCACATACATGTCCATCGCCTCCTCCGCATCCAACACCTCAAAGGCCATCCGCTGGGTATTTCCCATGTAATTAGTGTCCACGACACGAAAATCGAGAAAGACAACTTCGCCAACTTGTTGATTCAGACCTATGCGCTCAATGTACCGCTTCGAGATGCTCGGCCTCGAGCTGTGCATCTCAGCAGTGACATGCACCGAGCCCCTGGTGCCGTGCATGGAGACGGTCCCATTCGGCATGAAGATCTGCAACTGAACGCGGTTCTTGCAGACGGACTCGCTCCAGTGGAAGAGGAAGCAGTCGAGAATGTAGTACTTGTGGTAGCCGAGGTCTCTGGGGTCGTGGCCTGCGCCTCTGAATTGCGACACGATGTCGTCCCAGCTGCGGAGGGGAATGCGCTTCCTGACACACATGAGAGCGAACTCTTCCAGCTGTTCCTTGTAGTCGAATAGGCGGGGGCCACGGCCGCCGCGACGGATCGGATACTGTACATCGCGAGACGACCTGGGTGTTCTGTTGTGGAACCGGCAGTAGTATCGGAGATACTCGTCGATGATCTTTCCCCTATGACGGTCGAAGAACTCGGGGTATGTGAAGTCGCCGAGCTCTGGGACGGCGTCTTTCCAGCTGCGAGGCATGGGGCGGATCTCTGCTTGCATGACGGCCGCGCATATTCCGCGTGAGATCCGGGACATGATGTAGGCCGTCCGCTCGCGACTTTCGAGAGGTGGGCTGGAGAAAGGCATGTTGAGTTGACGGTGGCCTGGGACAGGTGGCTTTGACAATCTCTGTTGATAACAAGCTTCTCTCGAGGGCTCATCGTCTACTGCTGCTACCATGAGCACGAGAATGGACCTATTAAGGAGCTTTAAATACATTCCCTGGTGAGGTGATTCACCGAGGAAGATGGCGAATGCTCAATCTGCTTCAACATATTCACCTCGCAGAAAAGTAAACTTGAGATGAATTGGGCTATTCACCAGGTAGAGAGACTTTTGCAGACTTCGTATTTTCTGTCGTCGCGTATAGTGTCCTCAGAGGCTTCTCAAAGTCAAGAGGGCTCCGTCTGCAGTCATATGTCTTTGAGCCCAAGTCCATGGTTTCCACAATCAAGTCCTCAAACTACTCAACCGCGGGCACACCAACTCATGCAACCTTATGAGCTCATTTCGATCATTGCTAGACTCATTGATAAGTTGATCGTAATATTTATTGTACATGTTACTCCAGCTTACTCTACCCTAAAGTGCCTAAATTTGACCCAACTGGCCTCCCTTTTCTCGTTTGCACTATCTAAGGATGCGTAAATCCCGTACAAGGTGCCAGTCATATCATAACCTGAAAGAAGCACTGGATCTCCCTTTCCCTGACTATGCCATTTTCTCTCTCCATCACACATCGTAAAGCGACATAGGAACTCATAGCTGTCGGGCAAAGTCTGGATACGCAGGTCGATGGCGACTGTGCCGTCAGGAATCTCAGTCGATCCCAATTCGATGATCTCGGACTTTTTGTCCTTGATGACATTCAAGAAACCTGTAACCCTGGAACTAGGGCCATCGATCTGAATACATCCGTGGCGCAAGCTGTCCTTATAGATGGCCAAGCCGACCAAGGGGAGCTCTTGAATTCTACCAGAGCCCAGTTCCACGGTCGTGGAGGCCGACCCAGAGAGTGACCTCTGCCTTCGACCGACAAATGTCGACGTTCCGAGGGGATCTGTTAGAGTCGACGTTTGAGCGCACAGGGAGTAAGTATCTTCTGTGGCCGAGCAGGAGTAGTGATCGACGTTGGGAGTGCGGATGTAAACATCCTCGAGCTGTTCATTCATGATTTTGTACCCATGACCTTGCGCCTCACCAGACTCTCCTTCTGAACCAACCACCATCTCAAGCTTAGTCTGTGCTATACGAGGCCAGTCCCCAGAGGGCCATTCAACTGGTGTAAGGAAAGTCTCGCGACCAAGGGGATGCCGCTGAACGTTGGTGTGGTCGTGTCGTATGCCCAGATGGACACAGAACCACCTTCCCTCCACGTCTTGGAAGAGGTCACCATGACCAGCCCAGCGGATATCCTCATCCTTCTCAAAAGCAGTCAATAATGGGTTGCTTAGACAGCTCTCATAAGGCCCCCATATGTCTTTAGATCTTGCGATGTTGATTTGGTGGCCCTCGAATGTGGACGCTTCAGCAGTTAAAAGGTAGTACCAGCCATCTTTGAAGTAAACATGGGGCCCCTCAGCGTCGTCCTTTCCGGCTGCACCCTTCCAGAGGAACTTGCACTCTGACAAGGCTTCACCAGTGTCCACATTGATCTCGAACTGGCGGATAGAGCAGTCTGGGGCCCAAGGAGGCCCGGTCCGATAGGAGCCGTGCAGATATGCCTTGCCTGATGCCTCGTCAAAGAATAGACTGGGGTCAATCCCGGGGAACTCGAAAGGTACAGCGTCTGACCACCCGTCGTCGGAAAATATGGTGTCCTCATGACATCTGAGCAGGAAGTTCTGAAACTCATGCGTCCCGTCTGGCTTTTCGAAGGCATAGGTGCAGACGAGATAGAACCTGTCTTTGAAGTGTCGAAGAGTTGGCGCAAACAAACCGCCGGTTATGATGAGGGGAATGCCGTGGGGGAGCGGGATGAACTTTGTGAAGGCGTTTGATAGAGATAGTTGGGACGGCCGGGAAAGTGCATGCCCCTTGAGCTCCCAGTTGACGAGGTCCCGTGACGAGTAGATGGGAAGTCCAGGGAACACGTGGAAAGAAGAGTTGATTAGAAGGTAAGTGTCTTTGAAGACAGCTATGGTGGGGTCCGGGGCAAATCCGGGGATGATGGGGTTCGTGATCTTCATGGTGGTAGAACTTGGCGCACTAGGGTATGTCAAGCCAACAACCTTAAAACCTATCATGGCTCGGACGATAAATAGTATTAGTATCTGGAGATGATTGGGCGGATGTCTTTCATAACTCGGAAAGTCCGAGTGGGATATGTCACGCTTTGGGCAGACGTCCACCTTCATTGTTGACGTCCACCCTGTTTACGTCCACCCAGTCTCGCGACTACCCATGATCATAGCAATCACAAGTTGACAGTATCTCCACATTCATAACAATCATTATTCGCAGCCTGTTCTCTGGAGGGAATGTCGTAACGGATTTCCCGACAAGTATCAGTATTGGGCCCTTAATGTTACCCCGGATTTACCCCAGAAAACCCCCAAAAAGTCTCCCCGGATATTCCATGACCAAAACTGCTATCGCGGACATTTAATCAAGATCCCACTCCGCCTCCACTCAATGATTGATACCGGTATCCGATCATCGACAACATGGCTTCACCCGACGTTGACAAGCAAGCCGTTTCCCGAGTCCAGTCATCTTGAGATGGCGACAAAACCCGGGCTGGAGGGCCACGCCGGCGAGGCCATTGTCCGCGAAGAGCTCGCTCTCTCCATCAGCGAAAATGCCAAGAGACACTGGCGAGCCTTGCTAATCTGTAAGACTGCTTGCCCTCCGACTCCTAACATGACATGAGATGTAAGCTGACTCCCTCCAAGCATCTGTCGGGTTTACCGCCGGCATCGCGTTCGCCTACGATACCACTGCCAACGGAGCCTCCATCTCGATGCCTTCTTTCTTGCTGTACTTCGGAGACATTGGCTCCACTGGACCCTATCTGCCCTCGATCTGGACTTCGCTATGGACGGCCATGTCGTCTCTGACCCAGGCTCTCGGCGCCATCCTCGTCGGCTTCATCGCGGATAGATACGGTCGAAAGTGGCCATCTTGTGCGGCAGCGATCTTGACACTTATCGGGGCGGCTGTCCAATACATCGCTGTGCAACAGGCGACTCTGATGGGAGGGAAGATGATTACCGGCCTGGGCATCGGTGCAGTGATGGCTACAGCGACAACATACATTAGCGAGGTACGATTAAAGCAAGGGGATGTCTAGGGACCAGGACTGATATGCCACTCAGGTTGCGCCCTTGAAGCTGCGAGCACCGCTGCAAACTGGCTTAGTAGTGTTCGTCATCTTCAGCCAAGGCTTGGCGTTGGCCATGGTCCGTCTTTTCGTCCCAGACATTCGAGAGCAAGCATTCAGAACCGTTATTGCGATTCAATGGGGTGTGGGAGGTCTAGCTCTGCTGGCCTGGGCTGCGGCCCCTGAGTGGGTTCCGTTCCCCTGAGCGACTGACACCAGTAGTGCTAACAGCACAAGGTCCCCCTTATGGCTGGTTAGAAAGGGCAAAATCGAGGCTGCTCGGCAGGTCATGCGAAAGATTTATGGCCCTAATCAACCAGATGAGCGACTCGAGTACGAGATACGTGCCATCCAGGCCGAGCAAGAGTTCGAGGCCAACAATAAAGCCACGTACATGGCTTGTTTTCAGGGGACCAACCGGAAGAGGAGTCTTACTGTCGCGTTTCTCTACTCTACGGCCAACATCGGCGGCGCCTCGTTCCTTGCTCAGAACATCTACTTCCTCATCACAGCTGGTCTTGAGGCGGTGCACTGCTTCGATGTCGGGATTGGGGGCTTCGGACTGGCGGTCTTGATCATCCTGACGAGCGGAGTCTACCTGAAGTACGTCAACAGGCGCAACGTCGTGTTGATAGGCTTGGTTCTCAACCTGTTGGTGATGGTGATCATCGGCGCCCTTTACTGGGCAGACAAAAAGGGCGGCCTATGGGCTATTGCTGTTCTGATGAACATCCTCATCTCTCTGCAGTCCAGTCTGCTCCAGGGGGCGGGTTGGCCTATCGCCGCTGAAATCCCCTCGTATTCCCTCCGAGCAAAGACCCTCTCCATCGGCATTTGCGCGCAGACATTCACCACTTGGGTCTTCAACTTCATCACCCCGTACATGTACAACGTCGACTCTGGGAACCTCGGCGCAAGGACAGGCTGGATCTATGCCGGGACGTCGGTGTTTTTGTTCATTGGTGGCTGGCTTTGGATACCGAATACTACTGGGATGACGACGGAAGAGATTGATCATGCGTATGAGTCGGGAGTGGCGCCAAGGAACTTTAGGAAACAGGCGTTGGTTGCGCCAGATGGAGGCAAGCGGGATTCCGTTTAGAATCTCACGCTGGCGTTGTTAAATTTGCAGATAGGACATCGCGCTCAGAAGAGCTATCTACGTGCACCATACGCGTATTGGTTTCAAAGAAGTGACCAGATTAAGCGTCATGCAGGTGGTTTTTGTGATCTTTGTAACGGGAATGGCGTGCAAGGGCCTGCAATGATTCCAAGTTGGATTACTGGAAGTCCGTAAAGTTTGCGCTCTACGGTCTACCGTTTCTACTGCCTTTCGGTCGTGATTTACTGCTGTGAGGTTTACAGGCATGATCATGGCTTAGCACTGGATTCAAGGAGGCGATTATGGGTCGAAGTCTCAACAGGCTCTGGCTTGTAGTCGCCGATCAACAAGCTCCCCGCTGCTTCTCGAATAACGGGGCCATCGCTGCGTGGACTGGTAGCTTCGAACAACAACAGATGAATCCGGCAGTGTCAAAAGGAATGCAACTGGCCCCTGTCCTTGCCGACTCTATTTAGGGCGTTTGAACTGGCCACGGCGCCGGGACTGGAGAGCGATGGGTCCCATCAGGGATGAAAGGCCGGCCTGTAGATGCGATGAATCGTGCGCCACCGTTTGGTCCGAGTTATTACCGAGTAGTCTGTCATCGAACGAGTGATGGACGGACATGAAGTAGCCGAAAGACGTGACAGTCTTGAAATGCGAACCTCTGGCGTCTCAAGTCACTAATCATTCATCATGGCACAAGATTACAACGAAATACATGTGTGCTGTAGTAAGGGTCGCTGATATCACTACTTGCATCGCCTGCATAACTGACATCACTAGAAAGAAACAAAATCAGGTACAATTGAGCGGGGGAAGGACCTCCAGTTACAAGATTTGCGGATGCCTTCATTTACCGCCTCATCAGCCCGTGTTGAGAACGGCCCCAGTTATCCATCATCCATCTGTGACGGACGACTTTCAATCGATTCCAATACATCCATTCGTGACATGCCCAGTTCTCTCAGACGACCTGAAACCCGGCGCCGAGTTGAAAGTGTGCCCATGCCGGTGGTACAAGTAAGCTCCTGATGTTGATAGTGCTGCCGCAGATGTACGCGTACCTGATGAGAAACCTCGCGGCCCAAGACAACCTCATGGTTTCATGTGGGCAAAGGAGGAGTCGCAAAGCGACAGAGGGCCTTCTTTGATTGTGATGTGATGATGGAATTTGTGACTCCCGAAGAAAGCTGCTTGCGCATGTAGAATCGGCGGAGCGCGGTGAGAGAGAGAGGTTGCTCACGTGGTGCGTTTGAAAGGGGGGACAGCAAGCGGCGATGGGTGAGTATTTAAGTGTGCATTCTAGCGAATGCGAGAAATCGCAGTATCAACTAAAAAGCTCCTGGCATATCAATGAAGACATTGTTGACGCGTCGATGCCACATTGGCGAGAGCCTTCAGAACGCCGAGGTCATGAGCGAATGGTGTACAGGATAAATGGGATTACGCCGGTTGGAACCAAACCGGATAGGATGGGTAAACGCGGGGGGATAAGCTCACCAAGCCTCCAAGCCCCTTACTTCCCATAGCTTCGGAAATCGTAGCCGACTTGCAATCTGGGGCACAGCGCTCGGGCGAGCTGCCAACCTCTCCAGCTACACCCCCACGCCAGAGACATCGTCCCCGAAGGCCGATAGAAATGGCGGCACAAAGCTGGCTGCGCCTTCTCCTTGTTCCACACCAAGCGAAATTTGGATCGTTAATGATACTGGTCGTGATCGAATTAGAAATCTATCCACTTGTGTCACTTGTTCTCGAAGCCGTCGGATTGGGTCTCTGCCGGTGTAGAAGGCTCCAAGGGTCACGGAGTGCGGGCTTGACCAAGACGCCGCGTAAGTTTGACTCGGCGTAGTTTCGGCTGTCAAGTTCGAAGATCGACGCTCGAGTATTTACAGAACAAGCTTACCGGACATCACTGGCATCATGGTTGGCCTTGTTTCGTCTCATACGCTTGCCCAGTCAGTAGTCGCAGCGCGCCCAGCATTTCCGAGTAGATGCTGTAGACCCTCATCAATAACAACAGAGGCGGTACTAAAAGCTCACGTGCCTTGTTGTAGTACATTTACGGCGTTCGTGGGCAGCAATTGCGAGTCCTGACCAAGAAATAGTTGGTGTTCGGAGGCTAGACCTGAGCTGGTATTCCAGGTCGGACCTTGCTGTCGTAGATGAACAGCATCCTGTCAAACCACAGCACTGGTAATATATGTGATCATGGACATATTGTCAATGGCGAGTCATGCCGGAAGAATACGGAGAATACGCAGAGTTGCTCGGACAATGATGCTGAGAATTTGGGCCCTGAAGCACGCGATACCAGCGACTGTAACTGTCTACCTGTCACGTCAAGTTACAGTGCACTTGGCATCCAGAACAGCCCATTTCTGCCCAAGAGTACACGAGGCTTCATAACCGAGCTAGGATTGAGACCTTATCGGGAATTGGCATTCATGGCTGTTTCATCAAGCAGGGCGAGCTTTCTTTTGGCTCGGATGAGGCTACGCTGAAGCTCCCTTCGACGTGGACCCATGAAAACACAAGACGAAAATAACTAAAACGAAATTGTGACCGGGTCTAGAGAAAGCCAAAAGGGATGAAGGGAGATTTCAGTATCAGCACGGTCTTGTATAGCCCCCCGTACGGGTCTGATACCATCGTGTCGCCCTCGGAGACCTCGGCGGTACATGGATATCACCGAGCTAAGCCGAGTTTGCTGCCCACAACATAGCAGACTACGCAACAGAGGGAGATCACTTGGATTCGCAAACGTAATTGTCCAACACGTGTTGGTAGTAGATTTAGCCACTGGCGAGGGGCCCTGTCAATTGGATCTTGATTGTGCACTTCTACTGGTCCTTATGCTAGGAGAAGGGAGAACATTGCTCCACGGAGCAGAGGTCGGAGTAAACGCCGGTAGCTGGGCTGCAATTTTCTACCGTCTAGACTGCGCTCCTCGATTTGATCACGTCTTTCTATGTCAAATTTCTAATTTTAAGGGGATTTGATTTCTTTCTTTTTTGTGCTGCGGACAACCGAGCCCTGGTTGTTCTGCCATTCCTTGACATCCAACTACAACATCGCTCCAGTCCGAATCAAACCGTCTCAACATGAAAGCTGCATATCAAGTTGTTCTCGGTACCAAGACGGGTGGAAGCAGCATAAGTGACACCTGGGAAGGCACGTTGCCTTTCCTGGTACATCTCTTGGCTGGTCTACGCTCATGGTCTCGACAATAAACAGCCCCTGAAGATCTTGCAGGCGACATTGACTAGAACTGTGCTATAACCTCGCCAACGTTTATGATCTCTCACTTTTCTTAGATAGGAAGGAAGATCTTGGATGGTTGGTATCGTTTGCCACATGAAGCTCTAGATGAGATCATTGTTGGAACCTTCCACATCTGTCATCGGCACCTCATAGATGTCAGTTCGTCTTTAGTGTTCAGACGGGATAGGCTCAGATTCTGCAGATATCCACGTTCAATACTTCATGGGAGCGTACAATGACACGTGAAAAAGTCATGGGATGAGGCTTTCAGATGCAACTTGGGCGATGTGATTCTCTTACGTCCGACTTACACCCTGATCCGCTTCTCGAAGTTCACGCACAGTCCCTCTCACCAAGGTTCCGTGACACGATCCATGCCCCGGCTGTGCCGACTGATAGAATTTTCTTTTCGGATTGCCTCTGGGTTTCGAGTCAAGCGCTACTACCGCCCTTGCATGTGTAAAAGCTGTTCATCCCACCCGTGTCCTACAGTCGTCGGATGTCTGGGAGGGCTTCACTATTGCGAGGTGAAGTTGCAAGGCTCTTCCCTTAAAATGATGCTATAATAAGACTAAGATATGTTCGAGGAGGAAAAACAAGTGAGGATCTCCAAGCCTGGATACTAAGATTCCGAAGACTGTCGATCGGGAGACACAGACCTACTTACGATAAGCAATTTTCTGACGCGTCAAACTCTCGTGGACACTCCCCCGTCCATTAAACCGTCAACGCCTTCATGTGCCCACGCCAAGAAAGGATATTCTCAATTATTTCTTGGCAACGGCTATAAGCGATTGGGCACCTGAACCAACGCACCTTGACATCAAGTAGTGGGACGGTGGACAGCGATCTACGCCCGTATCCGCCGCACCGCCGCATGTTTACACACAAAGACTGGGATCTTTCACTTGACACATCATAAGTCTCACCGAGTTCGTTTTCAGTCTAGGAGGATGCATCTGAATGTACAGACCAGCGTCTTGAAAGCGCTGATACCCACATTGCTGCCAGACATTCAAGTGATCTGTGAGGGATAGTGATCTCCCGGGACCACTTGGGGTCGTTCGTCTCGGAAGAGCTCCATATATAGTATCATCGCTCTGTCACAACAGCTTATCTAAGTAGCGATTTAGGTTGCCCCGGCTGGGGTGTGGCTCCCATTGGACCCGCTCGGAAACTTACCCCCCAAAACGGAGCATGCTCTTAGCATCCCATTTGTGAGGGATTCATGCTTAACTCCACCACGACGGACTGTTCCATGATGTTGAATATGATGAGCCATAGGCCGGAGACTTATATTGCGCGGCTTCTTTACATGTGCAAGGTGTCTCCCTGATCCGTTTACATGTCGAGCAAGCTCTTGGTTCGCTGACAACCGTCCAAACTGACACATCAAGTATATTTCTCTCGCTATCTCAGGGGTGTCTGTTTACCATCGTACCAGGGTCAGCACTGCCACGGATATGATGTGTTCAAAGGAGTGAATAGATTACGCGCCTACCTGCTGTGTCTCCCTGCCATCCGTTTCCGCCACAACATGAAGGCTCCCGCAAGGATCGACGCTCCCGCTGTTTTCAAGGGGAATCAGAAACAGTAGTCTTGCAAATGAGCTGACCAGGGGGGGATATTTTACCAACACTGCCCAATATCACCACTAGCACAACACCCGTGCTGGGTACGTATGCTGAGCGCCTATCCATTGGCTAGACTGGTCGGAAGCTTTTCAACGGGTG